ACCCTTGAGAGCAATGGCAAATCAATTTTTTTTTTTGTTTTCTAAAGTAACCTCTATGCCCAACGTGGGGCTTGAACTCATGACTCCAAGGTCAAGAGTCACATACTCTACCAACTGAGCCAGCCAGGTGACCCTAGAGGAGGGATTTTTGTCAGCAGTCCTCTGTGCTGTAAAAAGCCTCTCCTGATCAATAGCAAAGTGTTTTTCACTGTGGTTCACATAACAAATACATTTATATTGTAAACTAGCACCACATATGTGTAAGTAAATTTAAAAGAGTTTTACTGGTCGTATGTGCTCTTACTATGCATGATGTACTCTGTTATTTCCTAATCTCTTCTGTTTTCTTTGTTGCAGTTTTTGTTGAATGCCATCTGATTGTTGGCTAAGGCCTAGGTGAAGATACCACATACCATCCCTACGAGCTTGGGCACCTTCCTTTTCCCAGAATCCTCAGGTGCAAACAGACTTGTACCTCCTCATCGGATGGGGGTGGAGGGAGTATAAAAGTTTGCAGAAAGGTCTAGCAAGGTACCTGACATGGAGTATATTTCTGTCCATATCAGCTAAATGTAAAATGCATCTGTATGGGTCTGAGGAGTCTCCACAGAGTTGATGGTACCCTTGCTGACCTGGCCTACCATTGCCCAACAGTTTACCGTTGGTGGCTCACTCTTGAATTTGGCAGGAAAAAGGAAATATTTCTAACTGTGTGTGTATGTTGTAGTGGCATGTGTATCTCATTTCCCACCCTGTCTGTGTACGTAAACATGCATATACACCACCTCCTCTCTGCACAGTGGCCTCCATCACCTCCCCACTCTCCCAGGAGGAGGAGGTCCATCCTCCAGGGCAACAGTGTGGATGATCATGCCGCATAGACACTTGCAGACCCTGCTGAAGATAAGTTAAAATCTAGACTGACATTCAGCAGTATAAATTGGGAAGAAACAAAGACGTTTACAGACACTTAGATGTTTTTGTGTTTGTGCATAATTTGGTGTGGAGTTTTGCTTTCTTTGGTTGGATTGAGTTTTGCACAGCAGGGAAGATTGGATAGACTTTTGGATGGGCCAGCCCTCAGTCTGAATGCTACTTGACCTTCCTGAGCCTGAAATTTGTTTAACTGTGAAGTGGAAATAATACTATGTATTCCTGAAGGAGTTAAATGGGATAAAGAGTGGAGAGTGCCTAGCACAGTACTTGGCATATGGTAGTTGCAGAGTTTTCAGCGCTTGCATATTTTCCTGTTCTACAAAAGGCATTGTGCCTTTACCTGAATTTGGGCTCTGCTCTTCTTGGAGAGCATCCTTCCCCTCCATCCCCATCAACCCCATCCAAATCCTGCACTGGTTTGTCTGCGTTCATAACCCCTATAATACACTGAGTACAACCCACTGCCTATGGGCATTTCTCTCCTACTCTTTGCATTGATCTAACACTAGCTGTTTGTGAGGTGATAATAGAGTAACTACAGCTCTTGAGGTTTCCATTTTTGTCCTTGAGAATACATTATTTTTTTTTTTTTCCTTGGAGGCACTGGGGTGGCTCAGTCAGTTTTAAGCTTCCAACTCTTGATTTCAGCTCAGGTCATGATCTCACAGTTTTTGGGTTCAAGCCCCATGTCTGGCTCTGCATTTACAGTGTGGAGCCTGCTTAAGATTCTCTCGCTGTCTGGGGACACCTCAGTAGCTCAGTCGGTTGAGCGTCTGACTTCAGCTCAGGTAATGATTTCATGGTTTGTGACTTCAAGTCTCACATCAGGCTCTGTGCTGACAGCTCAAAGCCTGGATCCTGCTTCGGATTCTGTGACTCCCTCTCTCTCTGCCCCTCCCCTCCTTGCACTCTCTCTCTCTCTCTCAAAAATAAATAAACATTGGGGCGCCTGGGTGGCGCAGTCGGTTAAGCGTCCGACTTCAGCCAGGTCACGATCTCGCGGTCTGTGAGTTCGAGCCCCGCATCAGGCTCTGGGCTGATGGCTCAGAGCCTGGAGCCTGTTTCCGATTCTGTGTCTCCCTCTCTCTCTGCCCCTCCCCCGTTCATGCTCTGTCTCTCTCTGTCCCAAAAATAAATAAACGTTGAAAAAAAAAATTAAAAAAAAAAAAATAAATAAACATTAAAAAAAAATAATCAAAAGACAAAAACTTTATGACAACCACTTAAGAAAATGTGGAATTGAAATCACAACTTAAAGATTATTTAATATTTTGAAATATTTTTGTGTCTTCCATGACTCGCTATACATTAAACATTTTTTTTTGAAACTAATTTTAATAATATATGTATATAAATGTGTTTCCTTTTTAAAATTAAAGCCAGGGGGGGTGCCTTCCTGGCTAAGTTGGAAGAGCATATGACTCTTGATCTCAGGGTCATCAGTTTGAGCCCTATGTTGGGTATAGAGATTACTAAAAAATAAATAAATAAATTAGCCTAAAAATTTTTAAATGAAATCAAAGCCAAATCCCTTTGATGATTGCCCCCAAATCTTTCACTCATGCAGTCTTTGTTTGCTGCACATCCTTCTGGATCCTTTTCTAATGCATTTTCACAAGTATTTATATTTTCTACGGGTTTGAGATGACTAGTCCTGATGTCATTTTAACCTTTGCCTCCTACTTCCCAGCACTCTATCCCTTTGTACTACGTTCTGAGAGGATTGGATGTTCTAGTTCACTACTGCCCTCTTAATCTGTTCTTATTCTGCTTTTCAATCCTATATCTAACCTCCCCCCTACAATTACATTTTTATTTCTAAGGTCTCTAAGGCCATATTTTCCATGGTTGCTCTTGTTCTGAAATTGTCTGTTCCTGTTTTGTGGATACCACCTTTTCTCTGAAGATTTTAATTATACCTGAAACTTTACTCTGACTCCTTTATGAACTCTGCTTCTTCAGATGTATGTTCAAGTGTATGTATGTTAGACATTTGAGGAAATGTCTGGAGAGAAGATAGTACTGCTTCTAGCTGTTGAATCCACACACTGTAGTGAGTTAGGGAAGGTCAGAGTACTTGAAGGGTGGAAGTGTGGGTAGCCCCCCGTCTTTCTGGGCATCCTGAGCTCCTAGAGCACCTCCTCCCCTCTCCTACACGAGCTCCTATAGTCTGCTCCCACCTGGAAGTGTGCACTGGGCGGTAGGAGTAGTGCACAGAGTTCACCTACTGGCTTCTTCTCACTATGATTCTCCAAATAACAGCCCTGATGGTTGTCTTCATGTCCTTTCCGGTTTGGGCTTCCACCAGTTCTACCTTCTGCAGCAGAATCTTACTAATTCTGGTCAAGGGCTACAGGTTCCCTCTTCAGTCTGACCTTGGTGTTTCTTAGGGATTTCTCTGTAATCTCAGCTTTGAGGGGTTTTGTTTGTTTGTTTGTTTGTTTGTTTCAAGCTCAGGTATCTATGTTTATTTGTTCATCCATTTATTTATGGTTTATACCTTTTCTGTTATTTTTAGGGATTCACTGAGGGAGGGGAAGACCATGACGTGTTATCAGTCTGAAAATTTTAAAACTGGAAGCCCTGTTTTCTCTTTTAATTTATGCCCTGCTTTTACCAAGACTGACTTGTAATGACAGTACTGAGAGTGAGTAGCATATAATGACTGATGAAGAAGAAAGCTGGTGACTTTTTGGGTGCTTTACTTCTGCATTACTGCTTCTATAGTATATTATCAGCAGATTGTTGAATTGGGTCGAGCTGGACTGGAAAAGAATGTGTGGGTAGGGTGGGGGTGAAGTGTTACATAGAGTGGAATAGTGGCTGCGCACATCTGTACCTGCTTACTTTTTTTCAGTTCTTGTTTTACCTGAAACTTGTGTGTTTACCTAAACCTGCTGCAAATTAAAACATCAAAATATTATATATAGTAAATGAAATTCACTAAGACATTATCAAGTATTAATGTGTTCTAGATGATTGTTATCATTGTCTAGACAAGAGTTATCATTTCATGTGGTTATTGTTAGTTACAGTAAGAGAAAAAAGAATCACTTTCCAGTTACTATTGAATTAGATTGGGACCAGGGAGTGAGAAAGACATAAGAGGTGTTGTCGGAAGGAATATTGGACACGTTTTCATTTCTTTGAATATATTGCTAGGAGTGGAATTGCTAGGTCATGAGGTGACTCAGTGTTTAACCTTCTGAGAAACTGCCAAGCTGTTCAAAACACATCATTTTACATTCATACCCGTACTGTATGAGGGTTCTAATTAGCCCATAGCCTCATCAACACTTGTTACTGTTGATCTTTTTTATTATAACCATCCTAGTGGTTGTGAAATGACATCTTACTGTGGTTTTTATTAGTATTTCTCAGATCGCTAATGATGTGGGGGCCTCACTTCATGTGCTTTTTGGCCATTTTTGTGTGTTTGGAGAAATGTCCATTTAGGTACTTTGCCCATTTTTTTTTTTTTATTAGGTTGTCTTTACTGTTGAATTGTAAGAGTTCTTTATATATTCTGGATACTAGACCCTTATCACATACATGATTTGCACATGTTTTCTTCCATTCTGTGGGTTGTCTTCACTTTCTTAACAGCGTCCTTTGAAACACCCATGTTTGAAATTTTGATGAAGTCCAAAATTCTCTATTTGATGCAACTCAAATGCATAAGCATCCCTTTAAGGCATAGAGACTCTGATGATCCAGGCAAGGAAGACATTGCTATGGATTGCTAAGGCTGGATTTTTTCCCTGCACAGTTTGCTCCAGGAAACCTCTACTCCTCACACTCCAGATTTGCTGGTTGTGATGTGGAATTGTACAGGTTTTCTGGCCCTCTGGAATGGTGTGACAGGTAGTGACACAGCATTCTTCAGTGTTCTGCACTTCCTAACAGGCCCCTCCATGAGTGGAGTGAGGTAGTTAGCACTCACGGCGTTTGGAAGAGTAGCACTGTCAGTGAATCATAAATCCCATCTGAGGTGGAAGTGAAAGTCCTCTAATTAACCACTGTGACGGCGACTCACCCTCATTCTTGTTTTGTGGTTTCTCCAGTTCTGGACTTCAGCGATCCCTTCAGCACTGAGGTGAAGCCGAGAATCCTGCTCATGGGCCTGAGGAGAAGCGGCAAGTCATCTATTCAGAAAGTTGTCTTTCACAAAATGTCTCCCAACGAAACACTGTTCTTGGAGAGCACGAACAAGATCTGCAGGGAAGACGTTTCCAATAGCTCCTTTGTTAATTTTCAGATTTGGGACTTCCCAGGACAGATTGACTTTTTTGACCCTACATTTGACTATGAGATGATCTTCCGGGGAACAGGAGCGCTGATATTTGTCATAGACTCCCAGGTAAAGCTCAGTCTCAGGTACATGGAAGTGCAGCCCCGCCCCCCGCAGCCCCTCCCCCCTCCCCCCCCTCCCAGTTCAAACCAGTTCCTTTGTGATGGTTTTGGTTTGGTGTTTTTAGCTGTTTGAGTTCTGAGTTCACAGCTTGGCTCCACTCAGCTTTCGGTGGGGGTGGGGGAGTTTGCAAAGGGGAAAAGTCTCCCTCTGTGCATTCCTAACCAGTGAGCAGTGAGCAATGTGAGTTGAATTGAGTATGTCTCAGCGAATCACAGAAACCTCACAACCGGAGGGGACCACCATAGGGGCCAAAGACAGCAAATACGTGTCCCCCGTGAAACTCTTGGCAGACATCCACAAAACTGCACAGGTTCTCTGCAACAAAAATATGTGTATAAGTCTACATCTGAAAACGTTTACTCTTTCCTAGGAAGGCAAAGTTCTAAGGGTGCAGTTTTGCTTCTGAATTAAATTATTGTAGTTATTACTAGTACACAATTGATTGACAGTGTAACTATCATGTATTTTATAGGTAACTATTAAATATAAAAAGTAACATTTTGATGAGTGTATCTCTTAAGATGATGGATATTTTCCCACTTAATGTATTCATGCTTGAATAAGAATTTAGGATCAATTCTACTTTTGTTTGTGTAGATGTAAGCACTGAGAAACCTTGTTGACATAAATAAGTACATGGATTTGGTTGAGTTACAGCATCTGCTCAATTATTTAAACTCAAGTTATATCCTCTAAGCTGTCCTGTTTTCTACCACAAAGGGTTGTTTTTAGTAGTTTACCAAAAGACATCCTGATTGGGCTTTCCTTTAACTTTGAAAGTAAAGACATGGGGACCCCTTGACTGGTGAAGACCCTTGTTACCCAGGTATTAGTTACTCACTTTATCAGTATTCAAACTAGTCTTCTGAATTGTCTCTTTGGTACTCTGGGCCTTTCTCCTGTGAAGTAGGAGGCCATCAGTTAAAGGGGAGGAGGGGGAAGGGAAGCAGCAGGACCGCAGGTGCATCTCAGGCATGCCAGTATTAGGAAAGAGTACAGGTAACAGAATTGGGACAATGACACTCTTCAAACTCTCCATGTCCAGGCTCTCTTAGAAAGTGTCCTGGAAGCATAGCTTAGCCTCAGGTTTGTTTTGGTTTGTTTTTTAATTTTCTTTTTTAATGTTTTTTGTTTATTTTTGAGAGAGAGAGAGAGAGAGAGAGAAGGTGAGAGAGAGCATGTGGGGGAGGGGCAGAGAGAGAGAGGGAGACACAGAATCAAAAACAGGCTCCAGGCTCAGAGCTGGCAGCACAGAGCCCGATGCAGGGCTCGAACTCATGAACCCCAAGATCATCACCTGAGCTGAAGTCAGACACTTAACAAACTGAGCCACCCAGGTACCCCCCAAGGGCCCTCTTTTATAGCTGTGGAGGAATAAATGGCAGTAAGTCCTTCAAGAATGCACTAAACCAGCTCTAAGTTCAGGACATGATATTTCCCTGAAACTGGACCAACAATCAGACAGGTGGGCTCAGCACACCTGCCCCATCCAGGAATGCTGATGGTGTTAGGGAGGAAGGGATGTGGAAACTGTTAGTAACAATGGTTCTGAGCCCATGCTTGGAAAACCATTCTCTGAGAAGACTGCTCATGCCTGAGAGCATCGTAAATTCATTCAGGGAGCTAGGTGCCTGTTTAATATAATAATGAAATTTTCAGCTAAGCCTTTTAGTTCCAAGTGATTGCACTGTGTACTAACAGTGTAGCTGTAGGAGTGTGGCCATATGTTAGAAGGGGCTCTTTCTTTATTTTTCGGTGGGGGTGTGCAAGGGAGCGACTTTGCATTCTGGTGCCTGATCTGTGAACAACAGTGCCTCTCCTCCCATGGGCCCATCCGGAAATGCATGCTGTAGACACCTGCATCAGGTCCAGGGCCTGCTGTCAGTTACTGCTTTCCCGGCTGTCCCACTTGTACTGACCCGTTTTCTGGCCCATCTGTGGCCTTGGCAGGAGCCCCTACCTTCCTGCTGAGGTCTGCCAGCACCATAAATTAGGGAGCTTGATCTTAGAAGAGCAGCTGGGTTGTGTGCACGCTGCTGGATGGAGGGCGAGCTCTTGGATGTGTCCCACTCATCTGTCTCTTCTAAGCTCCAGTTTTTCCCACTGCTGTTTCTGGACTTGCTGAACTAGGTAGCAGCAGTAGTAGCCCTACCCTTGGGGAAGTAGATTCCAGTCAGATGACTCATCTTTTCAAGACAGTAGCTTAGTAAGTACTCACTTCAATACCATGTTGTGCTTATGTAGCAATTTGCATTTATAGAATTCAAATGTCCAGTGCAACTCTATCCTAGGTGTTTGTGATATGGCTATAAGGTGGCTAAAATAGGTTCACTTGCCTGTTTTTAAATTGCAGCTGTAATTTGGTTTTATTTTTTACCTGAACATGAAAAATGGAACTTAAATTTGGGTTGGTAAATATGTGTTTTGTTTTCTTTTTTTCCTTTTCCTAGCTGTAGGGCAGAGAAAGGTGTAAGAATGTTTGAGAAATTGGTCCTTTTAGGTTCCACTTTTTAAAATGTAGGAAAAATATTGAGAGCTGTCATTTACTAAAAAGAAGGAATAACTAGAGAAACTGTTTCAGAGTCTAATATATACTTTTCTATTGGAAGCAGACTGTAAAAGCCATGTTTTGGGGAATATTTATAGGATGTGGTTTCAAGCACTGAAAAGAAAAGCAAACTTCAAGGAGTCTTGGCAGCCTGAAGTCACTGCCTTTATTTCTAAGCAGGGCTCTTTTGGTCTGACGCCTCATATTTTTATTTTTTCCTTGTGAATCCCTCACAATGCCAGTATTGCCATATAAAGATATCACCAAGGAGAACATGTGTCCTCACAGAACGTTGTAAAATAAATGAGAATGAAAACATCAAGAGTGATTTCCTGTGAGCTAAATGCATGACACTGCCGGCCCCCCAGGCAGAGCCCACAAAATGTACCCCATCTCAGGGCCCCTGTTGGCCCCCTGAAGCCATTTCACTTGTGCCTTGAGATCCACCATGGAGTGTTGGCTTCATCTGCATTGGTGACTGTGACCTGCCTGTAATTCCTAGATATAATTTTTTTTAACTTTATTTATTCATTTTTGAGACAGAGACAGAGAGAGTGAGTGGGGGAGGGGCAGAGAGGGAGAGAGAGAATCCCAAGCAGGCTCCGCGCTGTCAGCACAGACCCTGATGTGGGGCTCGAACCCACAAACAATGAGATCATGACCTGAGCCAAAACCAAGAGCCGGACGCTTAACCAACTGAGCCACCCAGGCGCCCCCCTAGATCTAATTTTGGAATAGAAACAAGGCAGTGTATTTTCCCTGAATTTTTATTTGTTGTAGAAGATAGAAACCAACACAGTGGGGAAAAATCATCCATAATCCCTCTGCCCTAATAAACCAAGTATGTTCTTCTTTTAAATGTTATTTTTAGTCCTTGTAGGTATGTGCCACTTCATCACTTAGTTGGTAATCAGATCATTTTATATGCCTGGCAGGCAAGTTACAGTAGCAATTTCTAATCTTTTGAGATTGTGATACTCTCTTGACATTGGCTAGTTTTGCTCACCGACAAGGTCACTTAACTGCTTGACTCCCCTCTTTAGTTAAGGACATAAACAAGAACAATTGTTTATTAGGGCAGAGGGATTATGGATGATGTAAACATACAACAAAATGCATTCATTATGAGCATACATACAATTCAGTGAGTTTGATGAATGTATATACCTTGTAACCACTTACTTCACAGTCAAGATATGGAATATTTCCACCACCCAAAAAGGTTCCCTTGTGTCCTTTCTCAGACAGCCTCCCTCCACATTTCAAGATGACGTAAATGAATTCTGTTTGGTGTTTAGAGATACATATGTATATAGTAACGTATTGAGAGATGATTGAGAATAAACACTAAACTCAGGATAGTGGCTACCTCTGGAGTGTGGGAGGTAGAGTGATGGGGTAGGCTGGGAGGATGGAGAGAGACACACGGGGCTTCAGTGTCTACTGTTTGATTTCTTTCTTTCTTTCTTTCTTTCTTTCTTTCTTTCTTTCTTTCTTTCTTTAAGTTTATATATTTAATCTGTATACCCATTGTGGGGCTTGAACTCATAATCTTGAGATCAAGAGTCACAAACTTGGGGTTCCTGGCTGGCTCACTTGGTAGAGCATGCAACTCTTTGATCTCAGGGTTGTGAGTTTGAGCCCTGTGTTGGGTGTATAGCTTACTTAAAAAAAAAAAAAAAAAAAAAAAAAAAAAGTCGCACGCTCCTCCAGCCGAGCCAGCCAGGCACCCCTACTGTTTGATTTCTTAAACAGGGAGATGTGTATGCAGATGTTCATCATATTGTTACAAACGTGTCATTGGTAGGAAGGAGAAAAAAGTAGTATTGTGTTATTTGGGGTCGTTACTCTAGATGAGAGGTCAGCAAACGGTTTCTGTAGAGGGCTAGATGGTAAATATTTCAGGCTTTGCAGGCTGTACCATTTCCAAGGAGTTTCCGTAGAAGAAAACCAGTCATCTCTAACAATGCAACACAAACGCAGCCATAGACAACATATATATAAATGAGTGTGGCTGTGTCCCAGTAAAACTTTACTCGTAAACAACATGCAGTGGGCCCAGTTTGGCCCATGATTTGCTGACCTCTGGTCTAGACTAGTGGCTCCTAAACCTTTCATCCTGGCTCCTTCCTTATCCTCCCAGCGACCCATATCATGTTTTCACCTTGAACTGTTCATCACAGTTCACCAAGGGACTAAAACATTGGGGAAGAATAGTATCCCAGGGAAGGTCCTAGGTATGGAGTCGTTTTGAATTCATAAAACTTCAACTCTGATCTTAATGACTGTCATCAAGCTAAATCATAACTGCCTATAGCTGTGTTTTTCCAGCCTTTCTTTTTCATCTCTTCGTTAATGAAACTTAAGTTTTCAAACTTGAATTCCATGAAACTAGTTTTTATTTGGGCTTTTGCAAAATATCTTGGGGGGTTTGTACCCACACGATTTACAGATTAGGAGTGTGTATGAAAGAAAAAAGGTAACTGTGAGATAAGGTGATGGATAGATTAATTAACTTGATTGGGGGGATCGTTTCATGACATATACGTATACGTATATCAAAGCATCACATTGTACACCTTAAATATATGGAGTGTTTGTCAATCAAACTTCAATATAGCTGGGGGAAAAAAGAGTGTCTGTGGAAGGCAGCTTAGAAAGGTTTGGCCTCCCTTGACAGGAATGTGCCTTTGTTCCCAGGACGATTACATGGAAGCCTTGGCTAGGCTCCACCTCACCGTGACAAGGGCCTACAAAGTGAACACCGACATCAACTTTGAGGTGTTTATTCATAAAGTGGATGGTCTGTCAGATGACCACAAAATTGAAACCCAAAGAGATATTCACCAGAGGGCAAATGATGACCTTGCAGATGCTGGATTAGAAAAAATTCACCTCAGGTGAGAACAGAAATTTCTCAGCAATCACATTAATTGACAGAAGTTAGCAGGTGTGGAGTCCAAAGTCACAATGAATGATTTGGCATGGGCAGTAATTCACCTGTTTACCCTATATTGTGTTATTCACATTAGGACAGTATTTGGGAAAAGCAAACTTTGCATGTGTTAATTCTAATTTTTGGTGATTTTTTTTTTTTTGGTTTTTGTTTAAATGTTTGTTTATTTTTGGGAGAAAGAGCTTGTGTGTGCATGTGCTCACATGCAGAGGAGGGGCAAAGACAGAGGGAGAGAGAGAATCTGAAGCAGGCTCTATGCTATCAACACAGAGCCCAAGGTGGGGATCAAACCCACAAACTGTGAGATCATGACCTAAGTCAAAATCAAGAGTCAGAGGCTTAACCAACTGGGCCACTTATGTGCCCCTTTGTTTTGTTTTTGTTTTTAAAGTTTATTTATTTATTTGTTCATTCATGTATGTATTTATTTTAATTTATTTTTGAAAGAGAGAGAGCGAGCAAGCATGAGCAGGGGAGGGGCAGAGAGAGAGGGAGACACAGAATCTGAAGTAGGCTCCAGGCTCCGAGCTCTCAGCACAGAGCCCGGCGCGGGGCTCAAACCAGCGAACTATGAGATCATGACCTGAGCCGAAGTCGGACACTTAACTGACTGAGCCATCCTGGCGTCCCCCCCCCCACCAAAAAAAAAAACTTGTTTTTGTTTTTGTTTTTTTTTAATTTTTTTTTTTCAACGTTTATTTACTTTTGGGACAGAGAGAGACAGAGCATGAACGGGGGAGGGGCAGAGAGAGAGAGGGAGACACAGAATTGGAAACAGGCTCCAGGCTCTGAGCCATCAGTCCAGAGCCCGATGCGGGGCTCGAACTCACGGACCGCGAGATCGTGACCTGGCTGAAGTCGGACGCTTAACCGACTGCGCCACCCAGGCGCCCCTGTTTTTGTTTTTTAAGCAAATAGTCAAACCTAATGTTTTTCCCACATGTGAAAAACACTAGATAAAACTCAAGAACATAATCCAGGAAGTTAATCAATGCTGAAGTTTACAGTTTGTGATGAATATGATAGTATCTATATGCACAAGTAAAAGAGAACTCTGAAAACACTTCAAATAGAAGTACAGAGGAAAATCATTTCTCTATTAGTTGTTTTTTAAGATTTTATTTTTAAGTAATTTCTATACCCAATGTGGGGCTCAAACTTAAAACCCCGAGATCAAGAGTCACATCCTCCGCCACCTGGCCAGTCAGGCGCCCCTGTATTAATTTTTTATGGGGAAGTATATGCATCATTCAATTTGCAAATTGGAAAATGAAAAAATTAGATGCTTCAATACCCATAATGTAGCTGTTACTAACCTAACAGGTGTTTGTAAAGATGATCTGGTGTGGAATCTTGGAGAACTAAGAAAGCTCATACAGGCACATACCACTGCATTTTTAAGCTTTCCAGTCCAGCCAGTCAGTAGAAAAATGGGTATAATTCTTGCTTTTTGGGAGTTGGGGAGGAATGCCTTGTTAAGACATGTTCACTTTTTTACCGAGTTCATATTGAATTCTACAGGGGGCTAGAATGTGTGTGTACGGACTTAGATACAGAGGGCTGGGTACTGGTGTCATGACATGGCCTTAGCCATCTATTCCCTAGTCAAAAGGAAAACGTGATGAAATATTTCTCTTTCAGCTTCTATTTGACAAGCATATATGATCACTCAATATTTGAAGCTTTTAGCAAAGTGGTTCAGAAACTGATTCCACAGCTCCCCACCCTGGAGAATTTGCTAAACATCTTTATCTCAGTAAGTACATAATTATCATCCTTGTAGAATCATTTGCAGAATTTTAGACTAACATTGCAAACAGTCTTATTTTTGAAGTGAAAACAGTCTTATTTTTGCTTGCTCTCACAACATTGCAAGGTCACTGAAATATTACTTTGGAAGATTACTACTAAATAACTGTTTCATAGTCTTTAAAATTTAACTCCCCAAACGATTCCTGTACTTCACTGATACAGTGTTTATTCAAGTTGTAGGCAGTCATTCAGTGTTGATAGAGCCCTACCAGATGTAAGGAACATTAAGGGTGGTTTTGGTGATGGTGTGCCTGGGTGGCTCAGCGGGTTAAGCTTCCGACTTTGGCTCAGGTCTTGATCTCCCGGTTCGTAAGTTCGAGCCCCACATCAGGCTCTCCAGATCCCCTGTCCCTTCTCTCTGTGCCCCCTCCCCTGTGCACACTCTCTCTCACAAAAATAAATAAACATTAGAAAGAAAAGATATATTGTTTTAAATATTTGTGTATGTTTAACACTGTGGATGATGTGCTGAATGAATGAGTCCTATAAACCGGCAGCTCTAGGCAAGCTCTTCTGTTCAGTTGAGTCAGATGTGACGGCTGTATGCATATTTACTCTGTCACTGTATAGTGGTGAGTTTGTTTAGCTTTTTAAAATTTATTTAAAATACAGTCAGTAAAATTAGTGTTTTTACTTGCCTTTTCCTAACTGCAGGTACATCTCTAAGAGCCAGGAAACACTGCCCAGTTTGTTTACCTAAAGTAAATAATTTATGAAAAATAAGAATTTTCCATTTCATATGCAAATCCATTATAAAGGTTTATGTGAGGTTTTAAAATTTTTTATTAAAAATTTTTTTGTTTTCTTTTGATGTTTTTATTTATTTTTGAGACCGAGAAAGCACAGGCTGGGGAGGGCCAAAGAAAGAGGGGGACAGGAACTGAAGCAGGCTCTGCACCGACAGCAGAGAGCCCGATGTGGGGCTCAAATGCTTGAGCCGTGAAATCATGACTGGAGCCAAAGTCAGACACTTAGCCTGCTGAGCCACCCAGGTGCCCCTATGTGAAGTTTAAATTGTAATAAAAAAGAACAAAATTTTAGCAAATTAATCTTTGCTCATTTATATTTTACACTGAGGATGGCATATAATTTTTTTATGTAACAATGACATGTTCTGAAATCAGCTGTACCTTTAAGATAGCATCTTCTTTTTGTTTCAGAATTCTGGAATTGAAAAGGCATTTCTCTTTGATGTGGTCAGTAAAATTTATATTGCAACTGATAGTACCCCAGTGGATATGCAAACCTATGAACTCTGCTGTGATATGATCGATGTGGTTATTGACATCTCTTGTATTTATGGGTAAGTAAAATATTCTTTCTTTTTATTATCCTTTTTTTCAATAAAAAAATTTTTTTTAATGTTTATTTATTTTTGAGAGAGAGAGAGAGAGAGAGAGAGAGAGAGACAGAGCGTGAGTAGGGAGGGTCAGAGGGAGAGGAAGGCACAGAATCCGAAGCAGGCTCCAGGCTCTGAGCTGTCAGCATAGAGCCCGACGCAGGGCTGGAACGCACGAACTGCGAGATCGTGACCTGAGCCGAAGTCAGACGCTTAACTGACTGAGCCATGTAGGCACCCCATTATTTTCCTTTTTTTAAAAATGTTTATTTTTATTTTTGAGAGAGAGATGGGGGAGGGGCAGAGAGCGATGGAGACAGAGGGTCTGAAGTGGGCTCTGTGCTGACAGTAGAGAGCCCAATGCAGGGCTGGAACTCATGAACTTGTGAGATTATGACCTGAGCTGAAGTTGGATGCTTAACTGCCTGAGCCACCCAGGTGCCCCTGGGTAGGAAAAATATTCCTAAAGGCTATGATCAAGCCATACTTAAGATTAGAAAAAGAAACCTTTCACAACCTTTGTAACATTTGCATTTACTTATTTGATTTTAATACTTTTGTTTTAAATAACTGAGATCTATAAATATACCATTTAGCATGCAATAATAAAAAAAATTATTGAGTAAATGCCTGGTATTCTGCTAATAAACATATTACGTTATATCATTAATTCCCTGCTATTCCATGGGAATAGGGAAATGGGAATTACTATCCCCATTTCACAGATGGGGAAACTGAGGTTCAGAGTGGTTAAGTTTCTAACCCCTGCTCACACTGTCAATAAAAGATAGGACTAGAATTTGAACTTAAGTCTAACTGATTCCTGGTTCTTCTACTGATCTGTCATCATATCATAATGTCATATACACTTGGGAGAGACTAAGATCCTAGAACTCTGAATACGTATCTCTTATTAACAACACTTCTATTACGTTCTTCATTATAGGAAATAACTTCTGGATTCTCTGTAACACACTTTGTCTTCTTTTATGAGCAGCAGAGAATTATAAAACCAAGCAAACAATATTACCTGTTTATTATTATGGTCTTAGATTCTTAGAAAACAGAACTTGCTGTACATTTAGAATAATATAAAGTAAACCAGGAGTGGGGAAAACTGATTGTGGTACCAGACATAGAAACATTTCTACATGACTTTATATTTCCTGAATGGGTGTTATATACAGTGAATGGATATGAATTAGTTTGTCTGTCTTAAGATATCAAGTTGTTGCCGTTGATTTATATTGGATCTTACATGCTTATCCAATCATTGATGAGGTAAAGCTCGTGTTCATCTTCCTTTTTACTCACCATTTGTCACCTGCCTCACACAGCCTCCTTCAGCCTTTGTGAGGGTCTCAGTCTTCCCATTTTTCTTTTCCACTATCTGAAAATCCTTTGCCCCCTCAGTTCACATTCTCTCTGTTATACACACATGCATGCACGGTCCCTTCCATTCTGAAATAGGGAAAGTGATACTTACAAGACTGTAGTGAGGATGAAGTATCATTAGGCTTTACCTGGTAGACCCTGGATAAAGGTAGCTTCCATTATTATTATTATTGTTGTTATTGTTATTATTATAATACATTGCCATCTGGCTTTAGAAACAGACCTTATTTCCCAAGTTTATTGCCTTTTTAGTATTATTATTAAACACTGCCATCTGGCTTCAGAAATAGACCTTGTTGCCCAAGATTACTGCTCTACAGCATTCTATTGTTTTTCAGCTACAAGTGGATGACCTTGAAATAGTCATGGAAACTGAATATACCCTGATTACAGTCTAGATTGCTGTGGTAATCAAATACAATAAACACAATTAATCTGGCACATATTTAATGATATGCATAATCATTATTGTGCCATATGGTAATTGGGTGTAAGTGGTAAGCTGTTCATGTAAATGATGTTAATCAGAGTTCCTTTCACCCAGCTAAAACAAACACGAGGCAGGCAGAATCGGGAGGAGTCAGATTGTTTTTCTGAGGTGGAGTGCAGTGTTACTGAGAACCTGGGTCACAAATCGGGCGTGGGCTCTGGAGTTTCCTTGGTGCTTGTTGGAGCCACAAGGAGCCAGCCCGGTTAACTGGCAGCAGCCAAGGAAGCGGACTGCCAGTTCCCAGCTGCTCCTTGGAGACCAGCAGGGCCAGAGGCAGGTGACCTGGTGCCTCACTTAGTCTGCTCAGGAATCTGCTGAGCTTCTGTTCACCAAATATACACGCACGCACACACACACCCACACACACGCACACAGGCATGCACACTTTACAATATGTTACATCGTCCTGTGTTTTCATTGCTTTGTGGCTAGAAACTTGAGTGGTAGAAAATAGATAGCTGTTGGGGCGCCTGGGTGGCTCAGTCGGTTAAGCGGCCGACTTCGGCTCAGGTCGTGATCTCGCGGTTTGTGAGTTCGAGCCCCGCATCGGGCTCTGTGCTGACAGCTCAGAGCCTGGAGCCTGTTTCAGATTCTGTGTCTCCCTCTCTCTGACCCTCCCCCGTTCATGCTCTGTCTCTCTCTGTCTCAAAAATAAATAAACGTTAAAAAAAAAAAAAAAAAAGAAAATAGATAGATGTTGCAGTTGTAATGCTTCACCAATTTTTACTTGTTATTTTTTGGATCTTTTTTGTTTTTCCAATTTGTTTAATGTTTTTTTTTTTCTGATTATGAATGTAATCCATGCTCATTGTAGAAAATATGTAAAGCATAAGGAATAAAATTAAAATAAAATTAAAATAACCTCATCATCTAGAGACAGTCACTATTAACATTTTCATAGATTTTATTCTTATTTCTCTGTGTAATTTTTAGGATGATGTAGTCACTTTGTATATGTTATTATATATATATCCTGCTTTGTTCATTTAACATTATCACCTAAGAATTTTCTTGTGTTACTAAGTGCTGTTGGCAAACAGCGCCTGGTGTCTGTTTACTATTATATTTACTTGGAAGTTTTAAATGCAGTTTTCTTCACTGGGTGAAAAAAGTCCAGTGTGTCAGTTTATTGTTCTCAGAACATTCCTTATTAGTAAGGGAAATACAGTATAGAAACACAGCAGCTAAAAATGGTACAAAGGAAGTTAAGAATTCTGATAAAGCGTTTTGAACATCAGAGGTCCAACACTTCTTAAAGATTTTTCTTTCACGTTTTGGTAGATTACAGTGAGTTGAATCCTTTTTTTAAAAAAAACTACCTTCCACAATTTACTTTTAAGTAGCCATGCATATATGTGCCGGTTTAAAATACTCTCAAAACTAAAAGCTTGCATTTCCTTTGAAATACTCTACAATTCATGCTTCTCATTTAATCTGGTTTGGCATGCTACTTCCTTGTGATATTTATGAGATTAAAAGCATTAACTCTGAAATTACATTAGTTTGAGTCCTGGCTCCACCCCCATCGTCAGCTTTGACCAAATTATCCTATTTCCTCTCAATACCTGGCTTAGAGGATTCTTAGGCCAGACAATAGATAATTCCTGGTAAAAGCTAAGAATGGTGCCTGTCACATAGTAAAAGCTGGCTCTTATAATGCAAAGGGATTGGTTTAGCACCAGCTGAGTTATTATGTTGAATTAATAAGGTCTAGCACAATTCTAGTTAATCATTTCTGGTAAATTATTCATTAATTTGGGAAGCAAAAATACATACATGCATGCATACACACACAGTTGCAGAAAAGGTGCAGGGAAGTGCTCTTTTGCCTCTGAGGAAAGAAATCATAACTCTGATTACATTAGTGTCTTCAGAGGGTCCAGTTTTGATCATTCAAGGCGATACTAGTAATAAAAGTTAACACAATAGTTAACATTCATTGTGCATTTTACATGTTTTCAGCACTGTGCTCAGTGCTGTGTATCTGTTATTTCATCGCGTTGGGAAACTTTGAGGTAATTTCTGTTAGGATACAGATAAGAAAATTGAGGCTCAAAGAAGCTACTCACATTGCCCCAGTTCCCATAGTAAGTGGACTAGGATTCAAACCCAAGTCATCTGTGTCTGCAGGCCACACTTTCTTAAATAGACCAGTATACTTATTTAACGTTTTATTTTGAAAAAATTTCAACCCTACAGAAGATGTGCAAAGATAGTCCAGTGAACTCCTACGTACCCTTCACTGGGATTCACCAATTTTTACCAATTTCCCATATTTTCTCTTTCTTTTTCTAATACAGTTGTTGATTTGTTTTTGCTAAACCATTTGAAAGTGAATTGCAGACATCATGATTCTTTGATCCTACATAATTGGGTGTTTATCTCTCCAAAAAACAGACATTCTTTTATAAGACCACAGTTTATCAAATTAAGCATATTTAGCATGGCCACATTAATGCATTATCTAATATATTGTCCGTATTCAAATCTTAACCAGTGGTTCCAAATCTGTCTTTTATAGCAATTCTTTCCCCTGATTCAGGCTCTAAGCCAGTCCTTGGCTGTTGTGTCTCCCTAGGCTTCTGTAATTTGGAACAGTCATTCAGCCCTTCTTGGTCTTTCATCAGACCATGCTTTTGACAGCCTGGTTGTTCTGTCAAAAGAAAACAAGAAGCCCCGTGGGCTATGGAGGCGAGAAGAGCTAACCTTCATCCCTCACCTGTGTACCTCAGGTGGCTGAAGAGTTGCCCACCTTCCCCAACAGCCACTCATTGTGTCAGCAGGAAGGGACTGTCATACACCGTGTACATTCTTGTGATTGTGTGTTTCTGAGACTTTTGCTGTAAGGCACTGTAGTTGTAAACAACTTTTCGTTACGATTATCATTCTGTGTGTTAAAGCTGGTCTCTGTTGCTGGGTTATAGTTTGTAGTTTTTCTCAATAGTCAAATATGTTCTGGTTTCTGTCCCTATTCAGCCTCAAAGAAGATGGAGCAGGAACCCCCTATGACAAGGAATCAACAGCCATTATAAAGCTGAATAATACAACAGTTCTTTATTTAAAGGAGGTGACAAAGTTCCTGGCTCTTGTTTGCTTTGTCAGAGAGGAAAGCTTTGAAAGAAAAGGTAATTTTGTGTGTGTGATTTAAATGAAATATTTCACTTCGGACTCCTATTACTTCTGCTCGTTGAATGTGGGCCGTTAGCAGCATGCCTGTGGAAGCTTCCAGGCTTTAGTCGCCAGGCCCCCTTGGCTCCTACCCAGCTCAGTCAGTCTTTTGGGATCTGTGAGCCAGCCTGCCCTCTAGTGACGCAGCTGCCAGAGGAGGAGGTGGCACCAGACCATCCTCCCAGGAGCTTTTGCTTTTCTGGGAGTGAAGCTGGCTGAAGCCTTGTTGCCAGACTGTAAAGTCCCTTCCCAGGGAGGGCCCCAGTGGCCTCCCTCTTGGTCCACTCTACTGCATGGTGTTAGGGACCATGTGACCCCTTGAGATCCCTGTGTAAAGGAGGGGATTTGTACAACATTAAAGTTAGATAGTATTTAACTTCTGTTCAGCCTTTGTACATTATTAAAAAAAAAATTTTTTTTTTAAATGTCTATTTACTTTTAAGAGAGAGAGACAGAGTGAGAGCTAGGGAAGGAGCAGAGAGAGAGGGAGACACAGAATCTGAAGCAGGCTCCAGGCTCTGAGCTGTCAGCACAGAGCTTCACATGGGGCTTGAACCTGTAAACCACAAGATCAGGACCTGAGCCGAAGTCGGACACTTAACCAATTAAGCCACTCAGGTACCCCAGCCTCTGCACATTCTTTAAAGAGTCCTCAAAACACAGGGCTGGCATCATGATTCTGAAAAGGGAAGACATGAATATGCTCAATAGAGTCACCAATAAGTAAAAGAAAAACAAATAATATATGAGTAAATGATAAATATGACATAATGTAAATATATACAAATACATATTATATGTGAATGTAAATGAGTAAATAAATAAAAATAAAATAAAACCAAAGCAACTAAACTCACAGAGATACTTATTCCCCCCACTACTGTTTAAACTGGGAAATACCAGCTTACTGACACACTACGGATTTTTGCTAGCAACTAGGGCATGATTTACCAATTTTTTTAGGGTAAAAAAATTCCCAACAGAGTGCCAATAGTAACATTTACTAAAATGCCTTTTTTTTTCTTTATAAACAACACATGTTCATTATAAAAATACTTTGAAACTTTGGGAAAATATAAAGAACAAAATAAAACCATTCAATTTCACCATCTAGAGCTAAATCCCCATGTTAAATTTCTGAGATTTTCTTTCTCCCCACCTCCCTCCCTCATCCCTTCTTTCCTTTTGACAAAAGTGGGGCTATATTGTTTATATAGTTTTATATCGTATTGTTTTTACTCATTTATATCATGAAAATTTTCCTAATTCATTAAGCATAAAAACACAATTTAGATTTTTATTCTTTTTTTTTTTAACGTTTATTTATTTTTGAGACAGAGAGAGACAGAGAATGAATGAGGGAGGGTCAGAGAGAGGGAGACACAGAATCTGAAACAGGCTCTAGGCTCTGAGCTCTGAGCTGTCAGCACAGAGCCTGATGCGGGGCTCGAACTCACGGAAGAGCCT